TAGTAGTAGTAGTAGTTGGAGTAGTATAGTAGTAGTAGTAGTAGTAGTAGTAATAGTAATAGTAGTAGTAGTAATAGTAGTAGGAGTAGTAGGAGTAGGAGTAGGAGTAGGAGTAGGAGTAGGAGTAGGAGTAGGAGTAGGAGTAGGAGGAGGAGTAGGACCGTTACGCCTATCACAACAAAAAAACATTACAGGATTACAGTCACTGGACTACTACGAGACGCGCGGCATTCCTAGAGCCGTGGCAAAGTAAAAGCCGGGGCCGATCCGGCCAAAGCAGAAGGCCTCCCTCAGTGCTTCCCGGCAGAGACGTGAGCTGGCAGCGAGGCTTGGTCATGGAGTTTGGACGTCATCGGAACACACTGGGTTCTTGAGGGTTTCGGAGGGAAACGGGACTGGGAGGGAAGCGCATGCCCAGCTGCCAAACAAGTTCGATGCCCAGCCGGGGCCCGCACGTTTCAGCTCTATCTTCACTGCAGTCCCCGGGGTGCCGTCCAGCTTTTCACACATGGTCTTTTCCTCAGGCCAGCATGCCGTGCATCACCATGATGAGTGCGTCGAGGCCATGTGACAAAGTGCCGAGCCTAAGCCTGAGCGTTAGCATGCGTTAACTGTCAAGGTGTCTGCCGTCAAAGGCAGGACCAATCACGTAGCTTCTGGTGCTGCCGATCAAGATCCCGACCATGCTCTTTTTTAAAGCATTGACTGCATCTTGGTTGTCGTACCTGCCGGGAAGCAACATAGACTCAGCAACGACATTTGCCCAGGGAGTTTGTTCAGCGCACTTGGTGAACCAAAGCTCGATCCTCAGGATTCCAGCAGCCTGGTGGGATTGAAAATGCAAGCTCCGCATCTAGGTTTGCGAGCTTGGGCAGGCGGCCTTTGCTCCTGAAAGCTTGTCCACTAGCCGGACCTGGAAGGGTCCAAGTCTGCTGGAGAGAGAACAGGGGGAAGTGGGCTTGTTTGGCTTGCTCTGCTAGCCCTGCTCTATCTACGAAGACAGTTCCAAAGCCACCAAATCTGGACAACTTGCTGCTGGCACAACCTGGGCTCATCGCTCCTGTGATCATGTCATAGGGCTCAATAGTGCCCCCGACCTGGATTTTGGATGATTTTAACAGTCTCACCAAAGCAGGCATCAGGAGTCAGGAGGCCCTGAAAGGCTTCCGACACTCTCTCCAACATGTCGTGTCATCGGCCGATTTCCCTTCCCTCCCTGCGACTGCTCCGGGGGTGGAGCCATGCCCAGAACAATGTTGTTCCAGTACTCGTCTATCTGCGCTCCGCCAATGCTAGACTTCAGCTGGACCTGACACACGTGGGTCACTTGTCCACGGAAGCTCAGCCCCACTTCTGCACCGGCCTGGAAATGCCCGCCAGTCGCGTTTAGAGGGTCCTCCCACTCTGGTCGAACCTTGCAGAAAATGTTTGGCAAGAGCTCGCAAACTGCCGGCAGGCATTCGCACGCCCTGTTGCTGCTGTTGCAGCTGTCCTCCATAGGACGTCATGAATCTCAAAAACAAAGAACCGGAGAGAGAAGAAACATTTTCGACATGCTCAACCTCAGCAAGAGCAATAGCTAAGAGCCATACTCCTTTCTTGAAGATCATGATGGCATCGATGGCCGTGGGGGTGCCGCCCTGTAATGCTGCAACAAAACCGATTACAGCAGCGCACGACATGCACCCAAAGCCATACACTGATTTGGTCTACGTCCATACTTTGAGGATCAGCGCAGCAAGTCAATACATGCCAGGTCGTCATTGTCTCTCGTGATGCGCTTGTTATCCAGGAGCTCACTAGGTTGAGGCACCTGACAAGAAGCGATGAGTAGGATGGGCTTCCCCTGGGGCATGCGTCCCTAAGGCATGTAACGCTGAACCAAGGACAGGCTGGCAAAGCCCTTGAATCCCCACAGGCAAGTTCCTACGAATATCTTATTCACCTCAAGCTTGGGCTGAAAGGTACCAGTTGTGCCACTTCTTCTTCTTGCCAGCAGCTACTGACACCAGACAACAGGCTCATCGCCAGCCGTTCTCAGTCGAGGACCCCATTCCAGATGCTCCAGAATTCCTTCGGCGGACTTTGATTGGGAGGACGGCAGCCGCTGAACCACACTCCCGTGACAAACTGCACGCGGGGGGGGGGGGGGGGGACACGCAACGTAGTGACTGTGACCCATCTACAGACAGAAGTCCTGGGCAGTCTTGAACGGCACAATCTCCTTCATGGAGTCGGCATAGGCCGAACCTGAGAGCGAAACAGCTCAAGCCAGAAGGCTTGTCGCATCGCGTAAACTCGTCGTACATGTTTCTCGGGTGTGCAGGTTCGTGGCCTTTGCCATCATTTGGCGGCACAGCCTGCAGGCAGTGCAACGGCACCATGACCCAAACTTGCAATGCACGTCAGCCTGCTCCCAAAGTACCCAAGTGTCTCTCAAAGGCATCGGGTCCTGCACATTCCGTTGGTAGCGCGCAACATGCCCCCTCGACAACCCAGCAAACGCGCGAGTTGGTCGTTTCGGGTAGGGAGGTGAGGCAACCGAAGCGGCTGAAACAAGATTCCAACACTTACAGCGAGAGTTCTGCAACGGGCAGGTGCCACCGACGAGCACTCTGAAATTACCACGCACTGTCCCGATGATGCATCATGATGTGTTGTCACCGCAAAGCATGGCTGTCTGTGGTGGACATTGCTGCGTAACGACCTACCAGCAGGTAAGTAGACTTCAACAACTCAGTACACAGGAAACATCGCTCCAGCAGCGCCCTTTGTGTGTCGCTGTCTTCCTGGCGCGGTCTTCAATAGAAGGAAGGATCGTTGACATGAGCATTCGGACTCTTCGGCGTCAAGGGTATGATAATTCATCGATTGGGGGCGAAGTCTCGCAGAAATGTGTTGCTGCTTACTGCTTGGCTGGTGACTTCATGGTCGCCACTGCACTCGCATCAAGTTGTGTGGCTGCCTCCCCTTTTCCCTACTGACCGAAGACCGTAGTCATGTGTGTCTCAAGCGAGTCGGCCGGGCTTCAGGGAGGCCCTTGATTTGGCCCTTGCCACCTACAGCCTGCCATGGGGAATGCATGATCTAAATGGCATGCGCCCAGATTCAGGAATCCAGTTGCTAGTCTGCTCAAGTCCTGCCTCATTGAAACTAAGGTACTGCATTGGCGCACCAATGCGGTAGGACGAAAAACCTTGGAGCAAGCCGCCGGTGGCACAGGAAGACCGTACTGAGGCTTTTCGGCATCCAGGCCAGCTACCCAAGCTATCACCAGTGGAAAGGCACTCCAGTGCCTGGCCATGCTGCTTTGACACTCTGTTGTTTTTTTGCAGAAGGGTGCGCGCATTCTCACAGTGGGACCAGGAGTCGTGCCTTCCTAGCAATCCAGGAGGGGACAAGTGGAGAGCAACTCCACAAATCCCTCTGGAGCCCAGATTTGCGCAAACATGCGAACCAGGTTTTGTAATGGGTGCAGTTGTGTGGTGGTCGAGCATCTTCAGTATGCATAGCCGAGATATGCCTCAGTCACAAGTCAGATGCACACTGTTCGGAAGATGGCCGTTTTGCTCGATCGGCAGAACGCGCTGAGCTGGCAAGAAGCAGCTCCTTCCAGCTTCATGGACTTGGCTTAAGAGAAAGGGGCACTCTTTGGCTGCTGAAAAGATCAAGGATGCACAACGAGCCCCCTTCCGCCCAAACCCCATGAAGGTTGACGCCGGCTGGCGCATAAACCTGTTGCGCCACGGCTGTCTCTGCAATCACTTGCTAGGAGACGGAATGTGTACAGCGCGCAGAGAGACGGTACCAGTACGGCATGACAGATCTTGTGATGGCTTACTTGAGTTCTGAGGCCACGATGCCTTAATGACGCTTACGTTGGAAATGGTCGCTCGCGGTGTCGGCCCTTCACGCTGACAGTATGAAGTTCTTAAAGGTGCAAATCGTTTGCTTGCGGCGCATTGCACCGGCAACAACCTCACCATACTTGCCTCCCTTTGGAGATGCTTAGCTGCACGCTTGAACGTGGTTATGCCAGGGGCCGCTTGTCGTATGAGTTGTCTTGGACATTACGGCAGCCTGGCCAAGGCCAATGGCTCGGGGGAGCAGGTCGAAAAGGGTCTTGACATGTCCTGAAGTACGATGCTGCAAGTAGCCGCTTGCATGTTACCAGGTTACTGCGCACGTGCCGTCCGCTGACCCAAGCCAAAGCCAATGCGTTAAGCGGTCAACACGGCAGCCGAGCAGACAGAGAACCAGCCTGTTGAGTAAAGCACCAATTGCGGCAATTCCAAGATTGACAGTACCACGGTTTGTATGCTGTACATATCGGTCCAGATTGAATAGCACTTGACCAAACATAGATATTCTCCTGTTTGGTCGTTGTGCTGAGACTGGCAGCCGGCGTGTAAGCATTGTGTCTGCCTTTCTTCGAGGTCTGACCAGGAAAATTGTGGCTCAACCTTCTTTGCAAATCAGAGAACTCTGAAAGAACTTGGCTCATCGTTGACGAGCAGTCGGAAGATCTGTTAGTATCTTAGTACCAGGCCTTGGAAGTGGATAACATCTGCTCGACCTTTAGGGCTCTAGAGGACAGGCCTGGCCAAGGCGCTCGTCGCGTGGGAGCCATCTGGCTTGTCGTATTGGTGACACGCAGTGCGGTGGCAAAGCATTGCACTTGTGCCCAAAACGGAGACACGCCACTGCAAACCGAAACTTACACCTAACATCCACATACGACTGCAAGAGGCAACGCCGACAGAATACGACTAGGCTTATGATTTCACTGGTGGTAACGTGTCTCGACTTGCCAGCCAATCAAAACCTTAGCTGGGAGCAAGGAAACTTCCGCTGTACGTTGGTCCTGGTAGAAACACTGCACCTGCCAAACCAAGGTCCTGGCTGGCTGGGAGGCCCTTGAGGCTTTCCTGGCAGAACAAAATTTGAAGAACAACATCCCCGTGCACCTCACACAATACATGCGCAAAAAATGGGAACATGGCGAACAAACAGCCGTTGCGAATCAAACTCCAGGGCCCTGGCCTTTGGCTCCAGCCTTTCCCTTACCTCTGCCACCTTTGGAGCCGTTCTTGCCGTCTTTGCCTTTTCCGCCTTTGCCCTTGCCCTTGCCTGGCCGTCGCAGGAACTGCACGGGACTCCAGAGTCGCGGTGGCGACGGATGCTGCAGATGATTAGCACACTAAGAAAGACTTGTTCCAGTCGGCCTTTGCCCTTGCCTCCCCTTCCTTTGCCACCAGGCTGCGTGGCCTCTGCTTCAGCATGGCATAGTGCACTGTTTGCAATACCGCGTGCTGATGTAACCGAACTCACTGGGATCTCACTGGGCACTGGGGCCGTGACGTACTTCTCCAGCTCTGGGGGAACGACCGCACCGCTGCGAACAAGAACGGAAGCGATCTCGAAGGCTTTCTTGTCCTATGTAAGAAAGGACTGGCATTCCCTCGACAAATGAACAAGGCACACCGCAACGACCAGCACAACGCCGTAACAGCGAAAGCGAATCTTGAGTCTCCTCCTTGTGGAGCAGGAGCAGGGAATAGGCCAACCCTTTCTGACCTGACCGATACAACATAGCATTAAAGCTGAAATGCAATGCACGCCCTCCCCGGCAAGAGCTGCCGTCGCAAATCACGCCCGAATTTGTAGCTTGAAGAATCTTGAAGCTGTGCATCTCCACAGGGGCCCGACCGGCGCGCCCAGTCCTTCCAATTCCTCAGCTACGCAAGGGGTGCAGCACCAACTTAAGCGACTCCGGCGTGCCGAATGTGTGCCCTGACCACGCACCGGCCGGGAGAAAAACGCTGGTCTACTTGGACATCTTGGCTGCAAAGAACACACGCAGCAAATGTTTGGGCCGGGGTGCGGTGGACGTAGTCCTTTCCCGAACTTGCGGAATCGTAGTTGATAACGCAGGTGACACCCTGCGCGGCATGACAACTGATGCAGCCAGAGTTCACGTGAGAAAGATCGACATCCTGTTTCATGGGTGCCTTGATGTCGAGTCCACGTGCAGCGACGTCCGTCGCACAAAGAATCGGGCTCTGGCCGCTCTTGAAGGCCTGACATGGCAAACGAGCTTAGCGGGCTAGGTCTAGTCATCATGTCCTATCTATCTATCTGTTTTCGATCTATCTACCCATCCATCTATCTATATGTAAACAAACATATACTTGTACGATCATGTTCGTACACATGTACGTTTACACAAATCGTGCGCACTGCATTTATCCCGGTATGGGTATTTACACAAAACAGATAGATCTATGCGTTCACTTGCCATCGCCTCCAACGCCCCGGTGCGCTCGTACTGGGCCATGTCTCCGTGGATGCGAACGGCCGGCACCCCGTGGTACTGCATCAGGTCATTCGCCAGGATCTCGCATGAACCTGGAGAAGCTGGGACTCTCAAGCGAAAAAGTATCCCTTTCTGAAGTGCGCATCGTATGAGTTTCGACTCTCAAAGGTGCCGAGCTGAGAGTTGAGAGCTACCTTGCCCGGTGTCATTCGAGCCCTGGCCTGGCGGTGACTCCATCACCAACTTGGCTGATTGCACGCCCCCTTTTTCTCAGGATGTTGGGCGTTAGCAGTGCCCGGCTCCAGCCAGCGTCGGGCTCGAAACATTAATAAGTGAGAGCAAGGGAACTTGAATTGCAATCATTGCAGTTCTTCGAAGTAGGTATGAAGCCGATCGGCCTATGGGTGGGAGTTGGTGGCTCTGCGCAGCCGTGCTCATACATGGGAAGATGCACTTCGCTTTCGGAGCTCAAGCTCACTCTTCAGCATGGCATTTTCCATATCCGAGAGTCGGAGCTTCCTGTCTGCGATTTCGAGCTGGCTGCGCAACAGGATGATCTGTCCATCCTTGTTCGTAACCTCATCCTTGAGAGCCTCTCGTTCACTTTGCACCGAGCGGAGCTGGCTCAAGGAAGGGTCCTCCGAGAGGCCATCCGGATATCCCCTGCCCTGCGCCGAGAGGATGTCGATGCGCGCCAAGGCCTTGGCAAGCTCGATCTGACAGGCGTCTTTGTCCCTATCCAGCTTGTCGATCCGACCTTGCAGCTCTCCTGTTTCGTCTGCCATGGATTGAAGAAGATGTGCCCTCTCGCGCTCCACGTCGACTTTGAAGCGCTTCATTGCCAACTCTTGTTCTGCGAGCTTGGCATTCAGGCCCGCAATCTCATCCTGGCACTCTCTGAGCTCCTCTGCCTTCTCTTTCTCGAACTCCTCAAACTGCTGCAGCATGTCACGCGCATCCTGCTCCAGCTTCTTGTTCCTGGTCTGCATGTCTGCACCGCCTTCGCCTTGTTCGTTTTCGGGCAAGCCCTCCGCCAGGCGTTTCTGTTCCTCTCGCAGAGCCGCATTCTGCTGCCGGAGGCTTGTGATCTCTGCGAGCAAGGCCTCCAGCTGCATTGCATCGCTTGTACCACCCGACTTGGGTGGCGGTTCTTCGTTCTGGGTGCTGGTCGCCTCTGTTACCGAAGCTGCGGCCGGAGCACGGCCAGACCTATCCACGACCGACCAGGAAGGTCCATGCCCGTTCACGCTGGACGGCGCGCCGTCCGTTGGGACAGACACTGACATGACAGACTCGCACTCTTCCTCTGCTACCCTGTCCATCTTGTGCACACGCCGTGGTGAAAAGTTGTTGGCCCAAGTGCTGCAGGCCATGGGTCGGTCTGCCGGCATTGCCGACCTTGCCTGCGGACGGGGGCTCGCAACCGGGTCCACGGCGTCCATCTTCCATGCTGGGAGGCCATGAGCATCCGATCGAAAAGCATATGGCGAAACAGATTGCAGGCCAGGTACGGCCCTTTGTGGCGAGGGACTACGGGCTTGTAGGCGAAAGCCTTGCGCTTGGACTGGTGTGAGTGGCACTGGACTCACGAAAGTGATGCCCCGGGTGTGAACTGGGCTCGTGTGAACACGAATTGTTGGACTGCTCGCCCTAGCAAAGCCTTCTGGAGCGATTCCTCCAAAAACAATGGCATTGCTTGGAGGGCGTACCACTGAGCCTTGCATTCCGGCCCGGCCCCGGCGACACGACTAGCCGAGCACAAAGTAGCAACGCAGAGTCATGGCTGGGCCCGTAACGAAGAAGAAACCTGCCCCGAATGGCGATCTGTAGAATGACAGGGATGTACTCCTCGCAGGGTCTAGTCTCCAGCAATGTTCTAACCACGTCGAATAAGACAAGCGCTAACTGCGGAAGATCTAGAATCTAGACATTTTGCTGCGGCAACGGAAAGAGTCGAGCCAAAGCATGTCCGGTGAGAACCAGAAAGTCCCGTCTTGGCTTGGGGCACTCTACAAGCCGACCGACTACAAGAGCTCCCGGCAAGTTTAGGCGCTCTTCGAATGTGTCATATTCGCATCGGTCTCGTGCTGTCGAGTCGCGCTTCATCTCGCAGAAAATCAAGCAGCGGTCGCCGCGCCCGAGGGAAGACAGGATCTGAAGGAGCTGCTGGGCCTGCATACTGCCACCGTCTCCCCAATTAACATCTTCACACTCATTACCGCCTTGTCAAGCACTATTCGGCAGCGACACGCTGGGACATCGTATCTGGACGCAGCGCATGCTGACTCTGTAGCCGGTTGCCTTGTCCTCTTCATCGGAGCAGAAGACGACACGTTGCTCGATGTCTTTGTTTACCTGTAGACGGGCAAAGCACACTGCTTCTATGCTGAGACAACCGGGAGACCTCTTAGCAGCTACACGTCTCAGAGCAAGTGACGGTCATCTCATGGACCGCTCCGGTTTGCACGTGGAATGGTCGCTTCAAAAACTCGCTGGCCAATGAGCGGACTTCTCGGGGCCATGTCGCCTCGGAGCTGGTTGTTAGGACTGCGAAAGGATGGCTCGCAAAGGCCATGGTCCCCTTACAAAGCAAGCGGCGGTAAACAGCAGTGTCTGCCTGTCTTCCGGAACTTGCTGAATGACCTCCGCGTTACAGCCCCCAGACGTCGCTCTGGCAAAAGGGTTCATGCTGCTCGCCGTTTGCTACCCACGCGCTCAGGGAACGGCTTGTCTGATCTGCGGCTCGAAGCCTGGAGGCATGTCATCATGTGCATGTCTACGGCAGCTCAAGCCTCGCAAGCAGATTCTTGCTGCAGGGTAACCCATGTCAAGCATCCGATCTGCTTCGTCCAAGACCAGGTAGGAGACGTTGGAAAGATTCACAGCTCCACTAGACAGGAAGTCATTCAATCTCCCCGGGCATGCCACAATGACCTGCATGGCACTTCAAGGCTTCCGCAAAAGTCACTAACTACTTTACAGGCAAACCCTTGGCTAGAACTTCCCGGCCTGTGCCCCCCGGCGTAGGGCACCGAGCTGCTGGCCCCGAGGTGCGCCACCGTAGCCTGGGTCGTGCTTGCACGGATCATCTCAAAGATGGAATCTTTAGTCATTCTAGTCTCAGGCACTGCAGTACACCAGCTTCAAGATCAACCCACCACCTGCAACACCTCCTACCAAGGGTCTTTCGCAGGACTAATGAGGTGGGCACGAACTGTACAGTTGCACTCGCTAGCACGACACTCTTTTTCCCAAGGTGTGGACGGATTTCGTGCAAGCCCGGAGAAGTACACTAGCCCTAACGATCATCCCGCCACCTCCCCAGAACACCACCGGTTACTTAGGGCTAGCGAGAAAGAGAAGCTGCTGCAAAATTGCACTCGCTAGCGGACGCTTTCTTCTTCAAGATGTGGACGGGATCCCTGTTAGCTCGGAAAAGGTCTCTAACGATCTTCGCTAGCCAATGTCCAAGGTGGGACGGGTGGCCTCTTCAAAATAGCCTCCCGTTAGGAGGCCTCATAGCCGAAATATGGCCATGGCCATTTCCAGACCTCAATCACATAACAAACCCCTTCGATGTTTTCGCGAAACACCTTCGATGTTTCAGGGTTAGATCTCTTGGGGGCTAGCATACACGGTCGTACCGAGGGCACGATTACACTAGCCCCAACGATCAGCCGACCACCTCCCCACAACACCACCGGTTACTTGGGCTAGCGAGAAAGAGAAGAAGCTGCAAAATTGCACTAGCGCGCGCTTTCTTTTTCAAGATGTGGACCGGATCCCTGTTAACCCGGAGAAGTCTCTAGCGATCTTCGCTAGCCAATCTCCTTGCGCAGGCATTCGGGCACCAGGCGCCTAGCTTGCCGACCTTGCGGGAGAAGCGTAGCGGCTTCCCCGCTCTCTCCGTCTTCCGCATTTCTAGCTCCTGGTAGTCGCTAGACGAGTGCTCCACATGACGGTCCAGGATCCTCCGTTTTAGCGACGAACTTTCCAGTGTGACTTCAATTTCGAGTCAAAACTAGCGAAGTTCTCGTTCGTCAACTCGTCAACTAGCTGGTTCAAGTCTCTCCTGATCCATTGCAGCTGTAGCTCGCAGTTCTTAGCAGACAGCTCCTCGGCAATCTCCATCTAGCTGTGCTATCACATGGACGGGATAGCCTGGAGCCCTCTTGGCAACTCTGCTCCAACAGGAACTCCGCGACCCAAGAGATAGCTTTTAGCAGTGCGTCTTCCACAGGGTTCGTCTCTGCGGCTTAGCAGGTAGTCCACCAGATCAGCTGGCCTGCATGGGGGTAGCCGTAGCTGAACTTCGCCGAGCCACCACCTCCAATGCCGATAGTGGGTGAAGCAGCGCTTCCACTCGCCCTCGTTCTCCCCACTTAGCTTTGCCACCCATAGCTCTTGTAGCCTCTCCTCTCTTGCCCGAGAAATGAAGCAATCCTCTAGTAGCTTGCGATTCCTCTCACCAGGCGGTGGCTTCCACTCCTGAAATGTAGCTTGCCCCGGCTCCTTGACCTTTCTCGGTGGTGATAGCTGCTGCCATTCCAGTTTCCCGAGAAGACACCGCTTGCCCTCTGGTAGAATCTTGCTTCCCTCTTAGCGTCTTGGACCCACTCCAGCACGGCTTCTTTCAGGCAGCCGGGGCAGGGAACCCCCAGTTCGTCGCAGATTTGCTTACAGGCTTAGCGAATGCACCGCAGTCATGCAACTCCTGAGGTGCGAGCTCTAGCGTGCCAATCCCCTGTTCCGACAGGAGATGATAGGCTCGGTCTAGCAGTCTATGGTCCACCTCAACTTGACCATGTCTTGGGACGAGCTCAGACTGTCCCGATAGCAAGGAACCTTCAACATCCAGTAGAGCTCCTCCTCCAGGAGGCGAGTGCTCCGGACTGCTTGGCACGAGTTCTGTCGGGCTTCCTATCGACATAGCGACAAATCGGGGCTATTAACCCCGTTCCCCTTGCCCCTGCTCTTCAAAATAGCCTCCCGTTAGGAGGCCTCTTAGCCGAAATGGCCACGGCCATTTCCAGACCTCAATCACATAGCAAACCTCGGGTTAGATCTCTTAGGGGCTAGCATACACGGTCATACCGAGGGCACGATTGCGGTCTCTAACGTCACGAGGGTGGGCAACAGCCATTCAAGAGACCTTCGCTCGAAAGCCCAGACTGCAAACACCCGCGATGCTTTGTTTAGCGGATCACCTTCTTTTGGCTAGCATACACACTGTCGTACCTCGCAAGCTCGGCACGAATGCGTTGTCTCCGCCGAGGCGCAGCAGGCTGTCCGGATTCCGGCAGCACGGCCGAAGCGGTCGGCTTCGGACTCGATCTGGCAGGCCAGCTCCCGGGTGGGCGCCAGAACGCAGAGCTGCGGCAGCCTGAAAGTTACCCTCAGTTCACTGCATGCAGAAGCCTTGCGACATGTCTCCTCTCTCTCTCTCTCTCTCTCTCTTGAACCCGAGGGCCTGGAACGGGTCTGCGTGATTTTCAGGAACCCAGGCATCAGGAACGCAAGGGTCTTGCCGCTGCCGGTCTTGGCGATGCCAATCAGGTCACGACCAGCCACTCCAATGGCCCAAGTATGAGCCTGGATAGGTGTAGGCGCCGTGAAGCCTGCCTCTATCAGCTTGTGGACAAGGATGTCCGGGAACATCCCTTGAGCTTGCTGAAAAGTGGTAACAGCTCCTGGCACCTGTTCCCCCTGCGGTCCGAAGACGTGGACTTGGGCAAACTCTTCATCTGCTTCTGCTGTCCAGAGCTCCTGTGCCTCGTATTCGGGCCCTGTTCCCTGCGAGTACTCCTGGCGCCAGCCGAGCCCGTTGTAGCCCATCTGCGCCTCGTTCTGGAAACCTCCACCAAATCCGTTCTGGGGGAAGCCCGGCATGTTGCACCCACCATTATTGTATGCTTTCACTGCATCCTGGTAGGCATAGTTGTTGTCAGCAAAGTTGTTTGCAGCATTGAAGCCGTTGTTATTCCTCGGCTTCTCAAAACGAAGATCCTCCCTGTCAGAGTCTGCAGCTACAACTATCGGGACGCCGCACGATCAAGGCCATTGCAAAACCAACTGCAGCCTCGACTCAAGTACGGCGGCGCTTGACCGTACACTTCGTCAGTGTTGTTGTACATTCCTGCATGCATTGACTGGCTTTCCGAGGCTATATGAAACGCCTGTACATGCACGGAACATGCTTGCACAAAACTTTGCACTGCGAGGCAACCATACAGAAGACGTTCGGAAAGGGCAGCATCATCCGACTAGCAGACTAGCATTCGGTTCCACTCTGCATCTGCAGACAGTCCGTACTGCATTGCGAAACCGTTGTTGCCGCCTGAGGCACCAATTGTAAGCGGGCAAATGGAAACTCAGCAAGAAAGCTCTCGCCACACGACCATCAGAAGACATCCACAGTTGCCATCTGCCTTTCTGCACGTTGTCAGGTGGCAAAAATGTAGCTGCCATACCTCCGCGGCACTCGCAACTTGCGGTTCTGAGAAGCTCTCGATCACCCCTATCAGTCCTTTTCAGATATTAGACATTGCTGGCGCAGACCAGCATCAATTCAGCAAGCATCGTTTGGCCTTGCTGAGCTTGGAACCTTCGACAGGGCCCCAGAACCTGCCAAGTCAGAGTCGTGCAAGTTTTTTCCCTGCGTCGAAGTGGGCAGGAGCCGAGCCTCCACGGACGGTGGCGCCGTGCCAATGCTTCAAGCCCAAATGCCATCAAACAAAGTCAGGGGCAAGGAAGAGTGCCCCCTCTCTCTCTCGACTGGAGCTGTGATCACATCACATCCCCACAGGCTTTGGCTCCGTGCACCCAGTGTGCCTTCCGCGAATTAGGATGGCAAAGACGGGAACAGAATCTTTGGTGGACTTCCTGGCTGTGGCCACTAAGGTTGCGGCAGCAGTCGGGTGTCACACATCTGGGACCGTCTGGAGCCTACAGCTATCAGAAAGAGGCCTTGAGTTTTAAACTCAAAACCTCCAAACCTCTAAGAGGCCGCAAAATCCACACCATCGCCGGGTGAAGTTTACGGCTGGATGCGAAAGGTGCAGAGACTCTCAAAGGCTTGCAGCGTTTCCACAAACTCAGCGTAGATCTCATCACACATTTCGTTCATGAAGGAGCAATAGTCTTCGTTTGACTTAGACACGTACTTTGCCGACGGCAGTGCCACAGCCAAGAAACGATTTGCCGGAACTTTCTGGGGAACTTCGAACTGCAGCCAGAGCTTCTCCGTCGGATGCTTAAATACCAACGAAGCTCCCGGCCGTGCATTCTCCGGCACCTGTACCATCACTGCGTTTGGCTCGAACTGCGCCTCTTTGACGAGGGGAGGGAATCTTATAGTGATGGTTTCGACTTTTCCTTTCGTTCTGAGCCGGAATGTCATTGGCCGTTCATCCGCTGAAGGATCAGCACGGACCAAGAAGTCAGGATCAGGACCGAAGTAATAAGTCACCTCCTTTCCCTCCTTCCACTTGGAGGATAAGATCACGGGAATGGCTCCTTGCGAAGGGTTCGGGTTTGGGACTTCGTGGACACGTACCCCAGAATCGCCGCGGCGTATAAACTCCCCCATCCGCTGCATCGCAGACCTCTTCGGCACTTTGAAAGTCAAGTAAGTTGGCTTCAGAACTCTCACCGCCTCATCCCCGGCAGGTCGCTTCTCGGAGGCCGTCGCACGACAGGTTGTCTTATAGCCTGGGAGTACCTCGCATGAAGGCCGCCAGGTGGAATTCCTGGACTCGAAGGTGTGCAACATGCCTCCCTTGTCCTGCCGGGCCATACGGACCGCGCAGAGAGAGAGAGAGAGAGAGAGAGAGAGAGAGAGAGAGAGACCGAGAGAGGGAGGGAGGGCAGAGAAAAGGAGAGAGAAGAGCAAAGAGAATGGGTGTGACACAGAGACAAGCTTTCATCCAAAGGCTGCAGGAGCGAGGCGGTGAATCTGAGGACTGAAAATGCTGTGCTGCCACTCCGTACTCCTGCCAATGTGACTCCCCTGATGCTGTCGAGCTGGCTGAGCGGGACGGAACCTTCTGCAGCTGTGGTGTAGAGGACTCGTGCGCCGTCGGGACCTGCAAGTGGACAGCTGACAGCCTGTTTAGCTGCGCGAAACATGTAATTTGCCGATGTGCTGGCAGCAAGACAAGTTTATCGACTCGAAATCAGGCCCTGAGCAGTCAGTTTCGCGCGCCTGAAGTGGCGAGTCTGCCAACTGCGTATTCTCGGACGGGTTCTCAGAGTCATCGGCCACCAGCGGGCGTGTGGAGTCTTCTTTCTCGGTACTTCGAAGAAGCATTGGCCCGAAACCGTTCAAGAGTATCATGCCAATTACGGAGTAGCATAACACATACAACCTTGCAGCTGTAAAGGTGAAGTTCTGGACTGCACTGTTGTTGCCATATCCGATGTGGAAGAAGTGCTGCTTCAGGGGCTCGGCACCGAGTGCACCCTGAATTGTCGCGCGAGGCAGTGTGCACAGAAAGCAAAACCCGATGTCTGATGGAACTTGGCTCAACGTCCTCCTGCGGCTCGTGACCGTGAGGAGGACACCAAGGCTGATGCCCATTGCACGTGCGAGCAGCCCCCAGAGCATTACAGGGGCCAAGCTCTTGAGCTCAGGCAGGATATCCAAAGTCATCTTGCTGCCGAGCATACTGAAGAGAAACACCTGGCCAAACACCCAGACTTGGCCCACAATGGTTGTGATGTCTTTCACGATGTCCTCGCCGTTGTATGCCGTGCTGCACCGGTTCGCGAAGACCGAAGCTGTTATGATCACAAGCAACTCAGACTGAAACATTGAACCTGGGCAAAGTGTTGCATCAAACGCTTGTTTTCTCCGCCATGAACTTCGCGAGAACCGTGGGCAAACACCGCGCGCAGCCATACTGATGTCACACTACTACCACCAACACCACCACCACCACTGCCACCACCGCCACCGCCAGAGCAAGAGCACCAAAAACAACACCACCAACGCCGCTACCACCACCAAAAAGACCGCTTACTGAGTGGAGTGCGAAATTGGTCCGGAACCTGGATTTTTGACAGGGTTTTTGGGCATGCATGCTTTGGAAAGCGTTCTTTTATGGTCATACAGTCAATTAAGAGTCTTGCCGGTGTCGTCAGAAGCAGGAAACGGGAAAGAACCCAGTTCCGCACATTGCTGTTTTAGATACAAGATGATACAAGGCGGCCATCAGCGAAAAGAAAAGGCGGGAACCGCTAAACGTGGCTTAGCGCTCGGAGGCGCCATCATCAACAGCGGGCAACAGAAACAATCATGATCATCATCAGCATCATCATCATCGGTATCGTGAACACCATCGTGAGGAAGATTTTTCACAGCAGATTTGCTATTGGTTCGACAACTATTGGTTTCACTACCAACATTATGACAAGCACAATTTAAAAAAAAACTAGCAAGCACAATGTGGTAGTACAGTCGTCGTCGTCGTCGTC